ATATCATAGTTTATTATAAAGTTAAAATAATAATGATCAATGTTTTTGCCATTGTTGTCTAAAAATGTTATAATAATTTTGTACTTTTTATATCCTGCCACAATTAAAATCAGGGGAATATGTACCGGTAATTACTGTACTTCTGGGTGATTTATTTTTTGTTTGTTTGTTTTATCTTTCTGTTAACAAAATATCTAACAGACCACGGGGACAGATTTCAACACAATTCAAATAAAAAAAAAACAATCAAGTCAAGTCAAGTCACATTTATTTATATAGCACATTTAAAACAGTAACTGTTATCAAAGTGCTTACCAAAAAAGACCACAGCATCAAATATTAATAACAACATATTACAGCAACATGAATAAAAGCATAAACACATTAAATATAATGAAAAACAATGAAATACTAAATCAAATCACCCTGCATTAAATGTCAGGGAGTAAAAGCAAAATGGATGAACACACTGGATCACTGCATCACTGTATGAACATCGACAAATACCATCAATTCAATTCAATGTGACCGTCACAGTTACTTGAACTTAGCACACAAAAAATGTCTTTGGCAATCACATTTACAGCTATTGATCCAAAATTTGTTGTTCTAGTCACTGAGTCTCATCCCCAACTCAAACACCAAGCTCTACCATATCACACAATATAACTGTTTACAACCTTAATGTGGGCCTATTGTTATCAACATTAATAATGTAATAGATAGATAACTGTACAGTTTGTACAAGCATTTTATTTGTGTGTGCAATGGTGATGAACAGGATGAGAGATGAGATCAGGTAAGAGTCCTTGTGGACGATCATATTTCCAGCTGGCATTTTGATCTACAATAAAAGTAGTGGGCAGGTGGAAGACAGTCTGATAAGATGGAGGCATGCTCTGGAGAGAAGAGAAACGAAAGCCAGTTAAAGCAAGACGTGAAGTATAAGTGAATGAGAGGGAGACAGGTGGAGCAGAGAAACTGCAGAGGTCTATGGATGAACTCAAGTATCTGGGATCAACCAAGCCTAAACCATGGACTGTGCGAAAGAGAGACAAAGAAGAGTGTACAGGCGGGGACCGGATGGAGACGAGCGTCAAGGGTGATTTGTGACAGAAGGAGATCGGCAAGAGTGACAGGAAAGGTTTATAAGATGGTGTGAAACCTGATGTAATGGGTGGTTTGGCACAAACAAAAAGACAGGAGGAGATGGCAGAGATTAGAAACGAGTATATCAGAGGGACATGCCACATTAAGTGACTTAGATAGGCTGAGATTGTTGGGACATGTGCATAAGAGGGGTGGTGGATAGACTTGAATATGGAGCTGCCAAACTCTCAACTCTTCAGTGAGACATTTAAATAGGCATCTTTTTTTCCCCATAACATCTTGAATTATATGAAGTTAGAACATTTTTGGCACCGTTTTTGTGATGTTTACACATCATCTATTGTCAGTGTGGCTTTTGGCATGAGAAAAATGCAATGATGTAATCACTTTTCATTGAACTACAGCCTCCTCACTACTGCTGTATTATCAATCACCTGCACTGTGAATAATTGTGGGTCGTAAAGAAGGAAAAAACTCTGAAAGCAGCCTCTGCACTCCTTGTACCAACGAGCATTAACCCTGCTTGATTAGATAACTGTGCTCATTTCCTCTTTTTGCCACTCTCACTCAATTTATATTCTTAGTTTGCTGAATTGTTTGGTGATGCAACATTGCAATGAAGAGCTAAAGTGACCGAAACTTTTTTTTTTCTCTTAAAACCAACCTTTAAATGAGGACATGACGAATAAAACTACAACACAATACATAAATCCTGGTGTAAGAAATAAATAATAAACCCTTTAAAGAACAAATAGAGAACATTCGAATAAGTAAATCTAAGTGTTGGTGCGTGTTAGTGTTTGGTTGTTGGAGAACGAGCACTATCAGAAGAGATAAGTCTTCAAACACTCATGATCTGATTGAATCATGTTGTCTAACATGGCAACCCCACAGAACAGCTTTGGTTTGCTGTGATTGTTAAGTTGTATTTTTATTTATTCATTTGGAACAATAAGTGTTGCTGTTTTAAGGCCTTTTAATACTTTTTCAGAACAAAAACAACAACAAAACTTATAGTGTTAAAAAGTTAATGAATCTCCAAAACATCCCCATGAGGTCTTCTGTCACACCATATGAGACAATCAATGACCCGACGGTCATTACACCCATTTTACAATCTTAATTGATAAGAACATATTCTGATCTTAAGGTCCTTCTTTTGTTGTGAGCACATCATGTCAGCAAAGGTCACAACTTAAAGTTTTATTATGTATAAAAAGGGTTTAACTAATAGCAGACTAAGTTTAGTGGTTGGATTTAGCTTTAGATTTCCAGGCTGATGTATAATTGCTGACACGGACCTTATCAGTCTAATTGTTCTGCAGATAATGGAAACATGGAGGCAGAGTTCAACTTGGTAATAAGACAGAATATCCTCAGATGAGCGTCACACTTGCTGGAGGACACACATTTGGGTACTGTACATTTGACTTTTCTCCCTCACAGGTTTTTACTTTGTTCTGCTTCATCAATACCAATCCGTGTTTTCTTATGTTAATTATTTTATCATGTTTGACGGCTGATTTTGTTGTAAAGCTGTTCATGGTAGTATTACAGAAGTAAATGCAGATTGTATTTTCTTTATTTTGTCGCTACTTGTGATTGACATAAAATATATTTTCTAAATCAATATTTATTAGATTGATGAGTTGCATTTTATCCACAGTACATGCACACCTGTTAAAGACTGAGTGAAAACCATGAGGAAATTGTTTAAACTTACACCGAGTGCAGATAAAAAAGGTAAATATAAATTTGCTTTAATTATTTGATTTTTGTCTTAGGTATTAAGCAACTTTAAAGTGTCTTTTTTTTTCTTTTTCGCCAGCCGTTCAGGATGGGTAAGTTTGTATCAAGATGCTTGACATGGCACTTTTTGGATCAAAATTACAGCTTTTATTTAATGCATATAACATATAAATTGCTTGTTTTTATAGAGAAGAAAAAAAAGAGGAAAATACACTAAGTGTTGGATACTTTCAGCTGGTAAATATGCTCTCATTTTACAAGTTACATACTTAGTTTCAACATTTGGATGTTTCCAGAACACCTTAATTTTTTCCATTATTGATTAAATCATTTAGCAATAAGAAAATAAAGAAAAAATGACTTAGATTTGTAAAAATGATAATTTTTTTTTTTCCAGAAAGAATGAAATAAAATAGTGGAACAAAAACCTAAACCTGTAAATTCATAATTTTATTTAACCCTAATTAAAACAAACTTCAGATGACAAAATAAAGACTTTTCAGAAGCTAAAAAGAAAAGAAAAAAATTTAATGTTCAAGTAAAACATTTTTTGACAGGTGAGGCTGTCAGTGTTGGATAAAAAAGGAGCAATATCTTATCTTTTCTAGCAACATTGAGTTCTTGCTCTCAGTTTTGTCTTTTTTGTACAGAGTAGATCAGCGTAAAAGACTTAATTATTAATAGAAAATGTTTAGACATTTTGATAATTTGGACCTAATTTAGAGGAAGAGTTTTGCAAATGAAAAATTGATTGCAGTTGGAGACTTACAACTATTTCTTTAAAATAATTTAATGTCAGCTTGAAACTTATATGACTCCCTGAGGTAAACAAATGCTCAAAGAGCTATTTTTTTCTACTGGTGCAGAAAACATAGTCATGGAAAAAAAAAAGGCATTTAAACAATTTTAATGGGAGTGTGCCTTGGCGTCTCTTGACTTTGCAAAGTGATGTTAGTTTTAACCTCTGACAGGCCAGATGCATTCCTTCAAGGAATGCTTGGCCTTTAATTTGAGGATTCAAGTCAAAATAAAAAGTTTTGTCATCCTATTTCTAAACTTGCACTAACAATGCAGCTTTGAGTTAGAGTTACAGTAAATGTTCCTCCAAGTTGCACATATTCAGACCATTACTCATGTGAACCGAACCTTGAAGACTATCAGAAGGGAGGGGAAGGACGCGTGATCTGCATGTGAGTTCAGCTCTAAATAAATGGAATAAAAGCAATAAATGGAGCAAATCGCTGCAGTTTAAGAGACTCAGAGTCAGAGAGATTTATTTGTCATTTGCATCTCATGTGATACATGTGGTGGAACGAAATTATGTACGCAGGGTCCCAATTACATCCAACAATAAAATGTAAAAGAAAAACAGTAATAAGATCTAAGATATGAACTAAGAAAAACATCAACTAAATATCCACTAAGCACTAGTAGCATAAAAACAATATGTTGAACAGCAGCACGAACATGAGTCTGTGTGAGCAGATGAGTATGAATGAACACAGCAACATGAAACAGATCAGCAGCAACATGAAACAGATCAGCAGCACCATGAAACAGATCAGCAGCAACATGAAACAGATCAGCAGCAGCATGATGTGATTTTTCACAGTGATTATCCTGGTTAGAGATTCATGAGTCTAACAGCCTCAGGGTAGAAGCTGTTCCTCAGTCTAGTGGTTCTACACTTAATGCTCCTTAACTTCCTGCCTGAGGCAAGCATGGTAAAAAGTGTGTGTGCTGGGTGAGTGGGGTCCTTCATGATGCAAGTAGCCCTCTTCCTGCATCTGGAGGTGAATATGTCTGTGATGGTGGGGAGACTGACTCCAACAGACTTCTGTGCAGCCTTCACCACTCTCTGCAAAGCTTTTCTTTCTGCAGCTGTGCAGCCTCCATGCCACACATTGATGCTGGAGCACAGGATGCTCTCCACTGCCCACCTGTAGAAGGAGCAGTCCAGCTCGTCTCAGCCGCCTGAGGAAGAAGAGTCTCTGATGAGCTTTCTTGATCAGGCTGGTGGTGTTGTTGCTCCAGCTGAGGTTGTCATTCAGGTGCACACCCAAGTACTTGTAGCTGGAGACCACTTCCATCGCAGATCCTCTTATGTTCAGGGAGGTGTAGGTGTGTTTGTTCCTTCTGAAGTCCACGACCATCTCCTTTGTCTTCTTCACATTGATGTGAAGGTTATTCTCTTTGCACCAGTTTTCCAGGTGTTCCACCTCCTGCCTGTAGCTGGACTCATCATTGTTTTTGATGCATCCCACCACCGCTGTATCATCTGCAAACTTTACAATGTGACAGCCTGGATGAGTAGGTGCACAATCATACGTGAGCAGAGTAAACAGGAGAGGGCTCAACACACATCCCTGAGGGAAGCCAGTGCTGAGGGTTATGGTGGAGGAGGAGAAGTTGTGGATCCTCACTGACTGTGGTCTGTTTGTTAAGAAGTCGAGTACCCAGTTGCAAATGGAGGGGCTTAGTCCTAGTGTGAGTAGTTTGTCCATCAGGGTTTGGGGAATCATGGTGTTGAAAGCAGAAGTGAAGTCCACAAAGAGCATATGGATATACCATACCATACCATACCACTTTATTTATAGAGCACTTAAAACAGCGACAAGGCCAACCAAAGTGCTGTACAGACAAAACAACAGGTAACCCACAAAGCAATATACAAAATGAGGTAAATCAGAATATAGACATAAAAACGATGCAGATAATGACGACAAACCAGTGTGGAGCATACAGGATCAAAACACAGATCATCTGGTGTTGAAAAGAGGATATAGGATATAGGAGTCCTTCTGCTCCAGGTGGTTGAGCGCAGTGTGGACCACAGAGGAGATGGCATCCTCTGTTGATCAGTTCTCGTGGTATGCATACTGATGAGGGTCCTCGTTGATGTTGATGGTTGTTTTGATGTGAGTCATGACCAGTCTTTTAGTTTGAACTGATTAACCTTCTGCAGAAATCAAGAACATAAGTCCAGACACCTGACTGTAACTGTAGACTCAGAAGTACTATGGAAACCACACTCTACACAGTCACTGCTGTATCCATAAATTAGAGACATTATATTCTATGTCCACACCAGCTCTTCTCAGATGGACAGCAGGACATGTTTAGATGTTCTTTAATCAATGAAAAATGTAAAAGTCAGTTTCTTGATGGGATGCCTCTGTGCTCACAGTATGGGTGATTTGGAGATATTTGCTAGCACCCAACGATGAGCTGACATGTTTAAGTTATGGTAAAACAAGTCACCAGAAAGAGATGATTTTCAGAATATCTGTGAATTTATTTTGTAGCATAATGCTACCCTGCATGCTTTACTTGCACACTTGCCTGCAGTCAAGCTCCATCTCTCATACACAAATTAAACACAAGTTTACACAAGTCTTTGGGCAGCTGTGGCTCAATGATTAGAGCAGTTGTCCTCCAGTGAAGGAGTTGGGGGTTTGATTCCACCAGCAGTCACATGCCAAAGTGTCCCTGGGCAAGACAATGAACTCTTCATTGCCTCCAATGTGTGTCCCATTGGTGTATGAATGTGAAAGCCCTGATTATTCTTTGTACAGATCTAGTAAAATGATGTACGAATGGGTAAATGAGGACACAGATTATAGTGTAATATACGTTTTAGTATCTTGATAAGGTAGAAAGGTGCAATATAAGTACCGTCCATTTACCATTTAAGGTTTGTCTTCATAATTTTCTTCAAGTTTCGGTTTGCCACCTGGAAGGATACAGCGATGATGGTGGTGGGCAGTTTGTGCGCCCTAGTGCACGGAGCGGCTGCACCTCTCATGCTCCTGGTGTACGGTATGATGACCAACACATTTGTGGCCTATGAGCTGGAGGTACAGGAGCTTAAAGACCCAAATAAGGAGTGCAGAAACAACTCAATACACTGGCTCAATGGCTCCATCTATGAAACTCCTGACAACAACACTGTTTACTGTGGGTAAGTCTTTAATTTACTGTTGATCAGATTATTAATGTGATGAGTAGATGTTACCTGTTTGATTCTCTTTGCAGGGTGAATATTGAAGCCCAGATGACCATGTTTGCATATTACTACATCGGCATTGGATTAGGTGTTCTGCTGGTTAGTTATTTTCAGGTAAATGTTCTGCTTTAATACTAACAACTTATGAGCGATGATGTTTGCAACACATAATGAAAGAAATCCCTCTGTGTCATGATTTAGATTGTCTTCTGGGTGTCGGCAGCTGCGAGACAAACTCAAAGGATCCGCAAGACTTATTTCAGGAAGGTTATGCAGATGGAGATCGGCTGGTTCGACTGCAACTCCGTGGGTGAACTGAACACGAGGATTTCAGAGTGAGCTCCATGTCTGCAGGTCAAACTACAGTGAGAGTTGGAAAAACAGTTGTCCCTGTAAGCCTTTCTGTTCCTTTGTCAGTGATATCAACAAGATCAACAATGCTATCGCTGATCAGGTGTCCATCTTCATTGAGAGGCTGTCTACGTTTGCGTTTGGCTTCATGGTTGGGTTCATCGGTGGCTGGAAGCTGACGCTGGTGGTCATAGCAGTGAGCCCACTTATTGGTATAGCTGCTGGACTGATGGCCACGGTAAGAAAATAACCATTTTTAATTACAGCCAAACATCAGCACTGCTTTCAGTGTTTTTGAGTGTTGTTCCTTTGTTCCTGAAGGCCGTGGCCAGACTGACAGGACGAGAGCTGAAGGCCTACGCCAAGGCAGGAGCTGTGGCTGATGAGGTCCTGTCAGCAATCAGAACAGTCGCAGCTTTTGGTGGAGAAGAAAAGGAAGTTGAAAGGTGTTTTGTTATACTTTCATGATGTAATTACTGTCTTATTGGACATGATCTAACATGTGAAGAGTGTAACAGGTACGACAGAAACCTCGTCGAAGCTCAGAACTGGGGTGTGAAAAAAGGCTCGATCATCGGAGTGTTTCAAGGATACCTGTGGTGCATCATCTTCCTGTGCTACGCTTTGGCCTTTTGGTACGGATCAAAACTCGTCATTGACACAAAGGAGCTGACTCCTGGGAGTCTCATTCAGGTGTGTGAAATGAAAAACTAACTCTAGATGTTTTTTATGTTTAGATTCTGAGGTCAGTTTCAGATAAAATGTTTAGATTTTGTGCATTTATTTTGAGTGGGAAATAATTTCTGTTGAGAGTATTTTTTCCTGGGTGAATGAAATCTAAATGTAAATTCTCCCCATAAACTACTAAAAAACATGTTTAACTAAATTATTAGATTTTTTTTTCAATTTTAGATCACAACATAAAATGAAAAAAAAATATTTTTTTTTTGATGAACTTAAGATTTGATGTGATGTTTTTTTGTGATGATGATTTATTCCAACATAAATTCAGTATTAAGACTTTTCCTTATGCTGTTTCCAACAAATTGCTTGAACTCCAAGGACACAGATCTTATGAATTATTTGAAATAAAATATTTTTCCACTCTTTGGTGGCTGTGTTTGCGTTCAGGTTTTCTTTGGAGTACTCATGGCAGCCATGAACCTCGGTCAGGCCTCTTCATGCCTGGAGGCGTTTGCTTCTGGTCGAGCAGCAGCAAAGACTATATTTGAAACTATTGACAGGGTACTAAAACATAACTAAATTAGATCAAATTTGAATTTATTTAAAACTAATGATAGTTCATAAAATAAACATTGCTCTTCCTGCATTCACAGGAACCAGAAATTAATTGTTTCTCAGAGGAAGGCTTCAAATTAGATAAAGTCAACGGTGATATTGAGTTCCACAATGTCACCTTCTTCTATCCTTCTCGGCCTGAAGTTAAGGTAACTCCTCTATACTGTACTTGTTGCTGCACTCGTGTTTCAATTTTTTAAAGTTCATCTCTCTAAAAGACAACTACCTGTCCAGATTTTAGATAATCTGAGCATACAGATCAAAGCAGGAGAAACCACAGCCTTCGTTGGACCGAGCGGATCTGGAAAAAGCAGCACAGTCCAACTCATCCAAAGATTTTACGACCCAAAGGAAGGAACGGTAACGATCTGACTCCACAAATGTAACAGAACACACAGAGAGAAAAGTTTATAGGCTTCATTTTGATATATCTGAATGTACTTTCAGGTGACTTTAGATGGCCATGACATCCGCAGTTTAAACATTCAGTGGCTCCGCTCTCTCATTGGTATTGTGGAGCAGGAGCCGGTTCTGTTCGCCACCACTATTGCAGAGAACATACGATACAGTCGGCCTGGGGTCAGCATGGAAGACATTATGCAGGCAGCAAAGGAGGCCAACGCTTACAACTTTATTATGACTCTACCACAGGTAAATTCACACACTGAGGACTGCAGAGTTGAAAACTATGTGTTGGTTTGGACTTTTCTTTAAAAATAAACATCCTTTTTAAAAAACTATTTCCTTAGAAATTTGACACACTGGTTGGTGAGGGTGGAGGCCAGATGAGTGGAGGACAGAAGCAGAGGATTGCTATCGCTCGAGCTCTCGTCCGAAATCCCAAGATCCTGCTGCTGGATATGGCCACATCTGCCCTGGACAATGAGAGCGAAGCTGTGGTCCAGGAAGCTCTGGATAACGTCAGTCAACGTCTGGGCACTAAATACACACAAAACAGCTTTCTGACTTGCTTTTTGAATTGACACGGTGGTTACGCTGCAGGTACGAGCAGGCAGGACAACAATCTCCATAGCCCACCGGCTTTCCACCATCAGAAATGCAGACGTCATTGTTGGTTTTGAGCATGGACAGGCTGTGGAGAGAGGAAAACACAAAGAGCTGCTAGAAAAACAAGGAGTCTACTTCACCCTCGTCACCCTGCAGAACCAAGGCTCATCCAGCGCAGCTAAAGGTAAGATTTATCTGAAGGAGGAATCCAAGTGATACATGTCAATGTTTTTTTTTTTTTATCAGTTAGGATTAGCGTAGATCTTTTTAGCTAATAAAATGCTTTGTGAAAAATATCACATCTAAAGTAGAGCCTTGTTAATAATAAAATACAGAAGTTTCTTGATAATTCATACTCAAAGTTAATGCTGGGTTCATTTAGAAGAGCAAACTTTTTTTTTTTTAAATAAATAAATTTTAAAGCAAAATATGTAGAGTTTTTATAAACTACACAGAAACATTAAAGACTTTTAGTTAAATGATTATGTGTCTCATCCGTCAGCGCTACATGTTGCACCTGCTTTTTAAAACAGAAAGAACAGCTATGGATGGGTGATAATCTAGCTGTTTTTTCTTACTTTTTTTTAGCCATCTTATTTGTAAAAACAATTTAAAAAAAATCTGCATGCCTTTTTGTAACTGTCTATTGTTGTCGCTGTTGTCCATTGTTTTCATCATTCTTTGTTGAAATCAGGTCTCTCTTGTAAATGAGGCCTTGGGGCTCAAAAGGATTTACCTGTCTAAATAAAGGTTGAATGAATGATAAGTTTCAGTGTCCTAGATCACAGCCTTGTTGACCAACAGTCCCCACCAAGCACACATAAAAAAGTTTTTCTTCTAAAAAAAAAACATAATTGTGGTTTTTATTTTTACTGTCCACATAGAGGGAACATAGAGAAATCCAGTTTTAAAACAACGACTTTACAACAAAACAACAACTTCAGTTTAAAATGAAATACCAGATCTTTACAGCTGACCATATAAACAAGGCTGATAGTTTATATGGTTGTTAATACACTTTGCCTCTTTCTTGCGGGGTCCCACAGGGTTCGATTCTGGAACCCCTTCTGTTCTCATTCTATTTGCTCCCACTGGGGTCCATCCTGAGGAAACATGGTCTTTCATTCCATTGTTATGCTAATGATTATCAGATCTACCTGCCTGTGAAACCAGCAAGGGTCTGCTCCATTCACCCTCTGTTAAAATGTCTGGACGACATTAAGGCCTGGATGGCTTCAAATTTCTTAAGTTTTAAAGATGAGAAGACTGAAGTCATTGTCTTTAGCCCTAGCTAAACTGCCGCCTCTGATCCTGTCAACCTGGACTCTCTTCAGCCATATCTTAAGCAGTCTGGTAAAAATCTTGGGATGGTTTTAGACTCTGATTTCAAATTTGACAAACAAATCAACTCTGTTCTGCAGAAAAGCTTCTTCCAACTGACAGGCAGCTAAGCTCAAGCCAGTGTTGTCCAGACCTGACCTTGAGAAACCAGTCCATGCCTTTGTCATGACTCGATTGGACTATTGCAATGCACTCTATGCTGGGGTCAGCCAGGCCTACATCTCACGTCTTCAGCTCGTCCAGAATTTCTAACAGGAAAGGTAAAATCTGGATGTGAAGGTGCTTGTTGAAGCCGGACAAGTTGAATCAAGTTTTATTAAGTCACGCATAGAGGTGGTAAAGGTCGAGATGCTGGATTATAAAAAAAATAAAGGTAGTAAATGTCACAAGGAAGGTTTTGAAAGCATCCCGAAAGGGTTGCTTTTGAAAGATGGAAAATTCCACAGTGATTTTTTTCTTCCAGATGTGATCAGTGAAAGTGAAGACGATTTTGATATTAAAGTGGAAAGTTTTCGGCGTGGAAGTTGCAGGTCCAGCATAAGGTACAGCAGCGTGATCGAACAGGCTTGATACAAGAACAGATTCATATAAAAAAAAAAAAAAAAAAAGGCTGACATTTTTAAACTTCTTCCTGCAGGAGCTCCAGTCGACTACGATCTCTGAGCAAACTGTCAAACGACTTTGTCCCGGATGCGCTATCAGGCAGCCTCAGGATCCCGTCAGATGTGCAGCTCATTCCAGAAGATGTACTGAGAATCTCTTACTGTGTGATGTACTAATTCACAGACTAGACTCACTTTGACACACATCTTTCAACAGACACCAGAGGAGGATGCAGACGAAACAGAGGAAACTGCTCCGGTCCTACGCATCCTGAAGTACAACAAGCCTGAATGGCCCTACATGCTGCTGGGCTCCCTGGGAGCTGCAGTCAATGGCTCTGTTAACCCCATCTATGCAATCCTGTTCAGCCAGATTCTTGGGGTAAGAGCTCCTCCCGGGATGACTGTACAGTATGCTCCGTGCTACGAGTAGAGCTTGTTTGTTTAGTCACGGTAAACAGATTGTTCAGAAGAACTATTTGTCTAATTGATTTCACAACTCTGTTTTTCTACAGACTTTTGCCATTCGTGACTTGGATGAGCAGCGGAAGCAGATCAACAGCATATGTGTGCTGTTTTGCATCGTCGCTGTGATTAGTTTCTTTTCACAATTCCTGCAGGTTGCTATTTACTTTGATAGATTTTACTTATTGTAGACTTTATCTCATAACGTGAGTCAATGATTGCCAAAAAGTCTCGTCTTTCCGTTCACATAATGAGATTAGAAAAAAAACTGCCATAAAAAGTTTAATCCCTTGCCAAATTGAAGCTTACTGAATTAGATGTGGCACTCTTATTAAATAAAAAATAAGTTATAGCTTCAGATCTTTAAGTAATAAAGTGAGTTCACATGACATTGACTGTCATGTTTAAAGCATCTCTGTCTCTATGTAATCCCTATAACCATTAGCTTCTTACTTCAACACACGTGTTCACCTTTTGTTTTGAACGAGTGAGCTGGAAAAAAATTTCCATTGACAAGAAAAGAATGAACTCTGGCAAGTTCTGTAATCTGCATGCAGCTACTTTTCATTCCACATATTTTAGCAGTGGCTTTGTTTACCTAATTGTTGTCTAAGGAATTGTGTTTTAATATGTTATGTTTGTAATAGTGGAAATTATACATAAAAATATTTGTGTATAAGAATTGTCTCATGTTAAGGGACAAATGCAAAATCAACAGTCATCTTAAAAATTCAAATATTTTTTATAAAAAAGTAGAGATTAGTTGTAACGTTCCCTAATAGAAAACTATAAAGTCAGATCCTTTAATTTTAAGTTAAAATAATACTTTATATTGTACTGATGCATGCACAATAATCCAGGTAGATAAATCTAACGAGGTTGAGTCAGGTCCTCCGGATGAATTTTTCTTTGTTGAAACGTTGCGTCTTTTATCCAGAAGACTTCTTCAGTCTGAGGAGCTGCAATAAACTCAGTCCTATAAGCAGCACCTTCTCATAGTGGATCAACCAGTTTGCTGATGACATCCAGAACTAATTCACATGCAATAGGAGGACCATCAGCCTAACGACCAATTGCTAGTGCCCTGATGGCCTATCTCGTTCAAGGATGAAGATGTGCACATCCTTGAACAAGAAGAATTTTGCTTGGAGAGAGGGGTGAAGGAAGCCATTTTTGTGAAGAGAACCCGTCCATCGTTAAACAGGGGTGGTTCAACAGTCACCCTCTTACAGTGCTGTTATTGTGAGTATCACTCATCTGCTGGTCATGCTGCTCAGCTGAGGGTGCTGCTTATAAGACTGAGTTTGTTGCAGCTCCTCAGAGTGAAGAAGTCTTTTGGATAAAAGGCAAAACGTCTCAACAAAGAAGAACCCATCCAGAGGACCTGACTCAACCTTGTTAGAAACATCTAACAGTTACAGTGTTTAATTTTTTTAATAATCAAAAATAGTTTAAGGTTGACATTTAAGAACTGACTTTTGCATGAATACATAAAGTACATAATTATTGGATTATTTCAAAAAGTCATTTATGTTGTTATGTGTTATGTTACTGGTATATGTTTGGATTCTGCATGGTTTTATGAATTTAGTAGAAGCTCGTATATGCATTTAAAGTAAAAATCCACAAGATATGCTGATTTATGACAGTTACATTATATGTTTGAAAAGCAGCACATTTATTGCTCTGGTATTGCAGCAGAGCAGAGCTTTTTGTTCGCTCATAGACTGAGTGATCTTTATTTGCAGGGATATGCGTTTGCTAAGTCTGGAGAGCTGCTGACCCGCCGTCTGAGGAAAGTGGGCTTCCATGCCATGTTGAAGCAGGAGATCGGTTGGTTTGATGACCCCAGAAACAGTCCTGGAGCTTTGACCACCAGACTGGCCACGGATGCATCCATGATCCAAGGGGTGTGTTGCAGCCTTTCAGGCCTTCATTGATATTTCTTATAGATATTTTTGATATTCAGTTACAATGTTTCTTTGTATATGACTGAAATAACTCCTTCAGGCAACAGGTTCTCAGATTGGCATGATTGTGAACTCGTTGACCAGCATAGGAGCCTCATTCATCATTGCCTTCTACTTCAGCTGGAAGTTGACACTGGTGATCATGTGCTTCCTACCACTCATCGGGCTGTCTGGTGTGTTCCAAGCCAAGATGCTGACAGGTTTTGCAAATGAAGACAAAAAAGCTATGGAGGCTGCTGGTCGGGTAAAGTAACCTTCTAGCATGATACAGAGTTCACCATGTAGACCTGCGACTTTATCTCTGAATCTTAACGACTGTGGTTGATCTTTCTTCAAGGTATCTAGTGAGGCTCTTACCAACATCAGGACCATTGCAGGACTGGCCAAAGAGAGCTCATTTGTGGAAACATATGAGCAAAAACTTGAGCTTCCATATCGGTCTGCTAAAAAACGAGCAAACATCTATGGGGTCTGCTTTGGTTTTGCTCAGTGCGTCATCTTCATGGCATATGCCGCGTCTTTTAGATATGGAGGCTACCTGGTCAGAGCTGAGGGCTTACAATACATGCTGGTTTTTAGGTTAGCAAAACTATTACTTAACATGTCTTATGTTGGTGAGCACCAAACCTCAACACCATTTTCCATTTCTCTAGAGTGATTTCAGCCATAGTGATCAGTGGGACAGCACTGGGACGAGCTTCTTCTTTCACTCCGGATTACGCCAAAGCCAAAACTGCTGCTGCTCAATTTTTCAAACTGTTGGATAGAATTCCAAAAATCAACATGAGCCCCTCAGATGGACAGAAATGGGTTGGTGAATTTACCATGCTGCTTTTTAAATTGGCAAAAGTCTTTTGCGTTGTTCATGAGCCTTGTCGATCCTGTTTAGGAGAACTTTAGAGGCAAAATTGAGTTCCTTAACTGCAAGTTCACCTACCCAACACGGCCAGACGTTCAAGTGCTGAATGGTCTGCTTGTTTCTGTGAAGCCTGGTCAGACTTTGGCTTTCGTTGGGAGCAGCGGGTGTGGGAAAAGCACCAGCGTCCAATTACTGGAAAGGTTCTACGATCCAGATGAGGGGCAAGTGGTATGTAACGAATATAAACCAGCTCAGCATACGCCAAAGCCAAACTGTGTCTTTTAAACGTGTCTGGTTTTATTTTCAGTTGATCGATGGCCGCCCGTCTCATGCTGTCAGCGTGCCCTTCCTGAGATCTCAGATTGGTATAGTTTCACAGGAGCCAGTTTTGTTCGACTGCAGCATAGCTGAGAATATTCAGTACGGGGATAACACTCGCAAAATCAGCATGGAAGAGGTTGTGGAGGCTGCAAAGAAAGCCAATCTTCATGACTTTGTGATGACCCTGCCAGATGTGAGTGGAAACACTTTACATTTGTAATATAATCACACATATATTACAACCTGAGGTTCTCAAGAGTTCCTAAAAACGATGACTGAAACATTTTTCTTTTCATACAATGAGCTTGCTCAGTGCAAATTGAAAAATGGGGCGCTGCAAGCTTGAAAACTCTAATGTAAGCTGAAGTAATACGCTAAGCAATTCAATTTATAATTTACTATAATTTATTTATATAGCGCAAATTCACAACAGAAGTCGTCTCAGGGCACTGAACAGAAACATTCACACACATGAAAATCAATTAAAAACAATATTTACTTGTGGAGTCAGCAAATTGCTTTGGGCATTCATGCTGTGAGGCGACAGTGTTAACCACTAAGCTGTTGTGATGTCGATAACACATTGACACTTAAAACTAGAACATTTTTTATAACATTTTGAGGTGTGCCAATCCAACTAATGCTCAAAATTACAACATATGTATCTGTGTGGGCAGAGTAAATGTTTGTAATGTGGAGGTTTAATTAAAAAAAAAAATACAAAGTACTTTATTTGCCATTTGTGCACATTAGTACATAGCTGAGCCAACTACAGTAGAGATGTTCTACATCATGAATAGAGTAGTTCCAGCACACATACAGTCATACTCTGGCATTGTTCAACAAAATGATTAACATCATTTTTGGTTTACTGGAATAAAAGTGATCGGAGCAGATTCTTTGCGTTTTTGAAGGTTGACCCATGTGGTTGATGTTTCCAAGCCAGATTTGTCAACGTTCTGCACTCAACTCCTCTGTTTGAGGTTCTTAGCATGAACTGATTTTTGGAATGAAGTGAGGGCAGCACGGTGGCACAGTTGGTAGAGCTGCTGCCTCTCAGCGAGCAGGCTGCCCTGGTTCAAATCCCAGTCCGGGGGCCTCTCTGGGTGGAGTTTGCATTTTCTCGCCATGCATGCGTGGGCTTAATCCGGGTTCTCCAGTTTCCTCCCACAGACCAAAAACATACATGTTAGGCTGATTGGTAACTCTAAAAAAATGTCTTTAGATGTGAGTGAGAGAGTGAATGGTTGTTTGTCTCGTTTGTCTCTTTGTGTCCCTGTGATGGACTGGAGACCTGTCCAGGGTGTCCCCCACCTCTAGCACAGTGATAGTTGAGCATGGGCACCAGTGACCCACGTGACCCGAAAAGGAAGAAGCAGGTAAAGATAATGCATGGATGGATGGATGGATGGATGGATGGATGGATGGATGGATGGATGGATGGATGGATGGATGGATGGATGGATGGATGGATGGATGGATGGGATGAAGTAAAAACTGTGCTTTGCCAAATCGTTTGCCCAGTTGGAAAATGCTTGACTGGAGCTATTGTCAGCCTAAAAAATGGTTGTTAGTGACAGTGCCCGGATGCGTTACGTCACATGAACTGTATATTATCAAGGTCAAGGTTTCTTTATTGTCATTCACATCATATGTGGTACATGTGGTGGAATGAAATTGTGTACTCAGGGTTCCAGTTACATCCAACAAAAGTACAAATTGTAAAAGAAAAATAGTAATAAGCTCCAAGATATGAACTAAGAAATATGCTAAGCACTAGTACAAAAACAATAGCACGAACATGAGTCTGTGTGAGCAGATGAGCACGAATGAACACAGCAGCATGAAAAAATCAGCAGCAACTGCTAAATGTGCGGCCTTTTGCTTTCCTTCTTTGCTGCTTTCAACTCTTTTAGAAATATGAGACTCAGGTTGGTGCCCAGGGGTCCCAGATGTCAAGAGGACAGAAACAACGAGTTGCCATCGCCAGGGCTATTGTCAGGAACCCTAAGATCCTTTTATTAGATGAGGCTACCTCTGCCCTGGACACAGAAAGTGAACAGGTATCTTTATTTCTTTAGGTTTCATTATAATCTAATGTGAATTAACTCAACTCCTCTCACTCGCCCACAAAGAACCGTCTTGATAGAGTTCTGTTTCCCTGCAGACTGTGCAGTCTGCTCTGGATGAGGCAAGAAAAGGGCGAACCTGCATCGTCATCGCTCACCGACTGTCAACCATTCAGTCTGCTGACATCATCGCTGTGATGTCACAGGGCGTCGTCATAGAACAAGGCACGCACAAGCAACTCATGGCTAAAAGGGGCGCCTATTACAAACTGGTCACAACGGGAGCTCCTATTAGCTGATCGTTTAATAATGACATTTAAAAAAAAATCAGTTATTGTGGAAAAAGGCACATCAAATGTACATAAACTGTGGATTATTTCAACTTTATTTAAATGCTATTTGTACAGTACAGTAATATAAATGCATCTTAATTAAAATAAAAAAAACAAGAAGTAGGTTTTCTAATGTATTACTTTTGAACTTGTTTTAAGCACCACACACATATGAGCAACATGTACACTTAAAAAAAAAAATCAGCACAATATTCATGATGATCCAAATATTATGCTGCACTTTAAACTGTTTTCAACAATTAGGTTTAATATTTTTACACTTTGTTTCTAACCACATTATGATCAAACCATTTATAGCTACTTTATTTATTTGTTTACAACTATTTGAAAGGGTAAAGTTTATTTCCCACATGTTTTTTTTTATATTAGTCTAATGATTTTTTTTATTATTTAAATTTTATTCCCATGCTTGTTGGATTTTATTTGTTCATGCTGCTTTATTAAAAATTTTGGGGATCATTTGTGTTTGAAAATTGTTTTCTATATTAGATGAGTTGTTAGGCTGCGCTTCATGAGTAAAATTATTCTGCTCATCAGACATAACAATAATAAAAACAAATATGCATTGCATTAAGAAATGCTACCATTCTACATTAATCCTTTTGAAAAGTAGACACATAAAAATATTTTTCATCACAAACTTTAATGTGATTTTAGACGGCAGTTTTTCTTTCAAGCTCACCATCACAGAACTGTTTTAAACTACAGTTTTTAGTTCACACTGAGTGGTGATTTTGGGAAGTTGTCAATAAATAGCAACAAAATTAAAAGTTATTGAGGAAAAGGATTATCATCATTATCACTGTAGCTGTTATTTGAACACTGAATTCAGTTCTTTTTAATTCCAGAGTATAGTTTAAAAAATAAAACTGTATTTTCTTTCAGAAAGCAAGGGTATTAAAAAAAATAATAATAAAAAGACGAACTTCTGCTTTCTAAAGTTCCATTTCTGAACATATATAACGCCAGGTTTCTATTGTTGCCCTCTTGGTGCAAAGTAATAATAAAGTACCCAGGCTAATGGATGTCTCTTCAGTCTTTGTTTGACGAGGAGCCTACGCACTTCGACCAGTTACATCATTCAGCAACACGCCTCAGGTACATCTGATACTAAGCAACCAGAGCCTGGGAGAAAAGATGGAGAAATGGCTTCTGCTCAGGAGTTTAATTAATCTGCCTAATCGTGTTACATCAGAGACACTCTGCTCCACCTCATTAAGTTCTCGCTGAAAATTATCTGACTTTTCCACTAAGCGATCATATAATGCAAGCAGGATAGGCAAACATAGTGTGCATGCAAAGGATCCAGTAAGTCTATCAAAGTTCATCTTTGAAAGAGATTTTTAAAATCATTTTTATGTAACCCTGTATTTATTCATTTTTCAAAATGAGCCATCTTTATAATGTGTTTTACATTTAATTACTCACATTACCAGGAAAAATGCCTAATTCAGGGTTTTCCTGAAACTAATGCACTTTGCATCTGACTTCAGATCCAGTTTACTTTCGTTCAAAAACACCTACTTTTACTTTGAAAGTAACACTTTAAACAGAGGGAAACACTCACTACATTAAACTTGCATGAAACTGAACCAAATAACATTTAAAACATTCAAACCAAGTAATGTAGTATGACTTGCCTTCAACAATCTAGGACAGCTTTCTTTCTTCATCCCTGATCAGCAAATGAACAGAGTAAGGAATCACAGCGACCACACCGAACGGTACGGAAGCGCTTTTACAAAACGACAGTATGTAAAACAGAGTCTCATTGTGAGTGGGCATTTTAATTAATTCATATAGCTGCAGAAATGTGAGATTTGCAGCCACGCACATGAGCTTGAATGCTGTTTTGGAGCCATTCTTCCCCTTGCAGCTTTGAACGAACATCTCAGAGTTCACTGCCTGGCCCAGACCAAACAAGGCTCCCAGGTTTCTCCACAGACAAGCAAAGGGTGTGGTGTCCAGGTGGATCCAGTCGGGGTTTTCACACCACTTCTTGGCTTTAACAACTGACCACAGTGGATCAAAGTCCAGGAGCTTTAGGAGCAGATAAATGCAACCGGCAAAGGAGAGAAGAAAACCATTGACCTGGAGGTACGATTTCATGCTTGCGTTATAGATGGAAGGAATGTGATCAAACACCTCCGCAACCAGCATTCCTGCAGATTGTATAGGAAACCAACAACAACAGATCATTATCTTAAACATGCATTACAGCAGAAATATTGCAAAACATGATAGCAGAGTGGAAAATACCAGCGATAAGGCCAAGGATGACCTGATGGGGGAAATGTGTTGCAACATAAACCCGGGAAATGCAAACGCTTATCTGAATCACCCAAAAAACTGTCCACAAAAAGGATCTCAAGAAGTGAAACCTGTATGAATGCACATTTTTAGTCAAGCGTTGAAGAAATCATTTGTGCCAAATGTGACTTGTAAACTTTCACCTGTGAGAACTTTGGACACCAGAGGCAATGTTCAGAGTGGAGGTGATCATCACATACCACACACACGACGAGCCCATGGCATGACCAGATGGACTACCTGCAAAATGAACCACCAACAACAGGGTTTACCACTTTTCATGTAGGGTTTTGTGGATGCATTAGCTCAAATGTGCTGCAGACGTACTCACCTGGCCCTGTTTCACATGTTATGCTAAACTGATCCAAATGTGGTATTGAATCGTTTTGGTACAAGTGAGTTTCCTGCACCCACCAATAGGGTCGGTCCCCAGAAAGAATCCTGAGTAATAAAGCATTTGAGCAAAAACACACGATAAAGGAATAAAATAATGTCATGGAGGTTGTCTTACCATTTGAAAATAAGGTTAAACCAGTCCCCAATAACAGCCACCCATATCATCTTTGTGCCAACATCGTGGCTGAGGTGGAACCAGAGTGGGAAGTAAATCGAGAAAATATTACGAGGGTCACCCACTGTCGACATGAAGCTGAGAAACCTGTAGTACCCTCTGTAGTTGTTCTGCAGGTGCTGTATGGTTAGCACACCAAATCTGTGGGTAAAATCCATCTGGTGTTCTCTCGGTCTGCGACAGCACCGGCACACGGCAGCACCATGATGCCCTCGTTCACCTTGCATCTCCTTATATCTCGGCCTGACATCATGAATCATCTATCAACGCCTTGGCAACAACCGCAGCCTGCTCAGACTCATATGGAAGTGTAATAACGTGTTCCCGAGCTGTGAGAGGTCAGCATTTTAAGACACGTTGAAAATACTGTTTGCAACCATTAGATGTTTCACAGATGGCTGCTTGTACAGTTGTTAAATATTAGCCACTGTGTCCCACATACCCACCCCGCTGCACGTACACACGCCACCCCTGGATCTTTTCAACTTGAATATTATCATTCTCATGTAGCAACAAGTTGCGCTTCCCCTGAAAAATGCCCCAAAGTCAAGTTTATTGTGTACATTTGCCCTTCCATCTTTGATAATTAAAACAGCAGTATGAGCATCTGCATTCATAATTTTGGCTGTAATAAAATTATTTTTTATCTACCGCTAAAGGATGACGGTTGATGACAATGTTTTTCAATGTTTTGACAATATCTGAACACATTTTAATTAAACTTTAAGGAAAAAAAACCATTTGGATGTATTAACTTTTAGAGTCATTCCAATTCAAGATGGCCACCACAGCTAATTGCCTTTTAAAAGTCTTTAATTAGGCCAATTTTACAACTGCTAACGCTTGAAGTGGTTGTAGCTGAGAGTCATTTAGAATAGAATAGAAACAGCCTTTATTGTCCCACGGATGGGGAATTCCAGTGTATTAGCAGCAACAGATAAAAAGATAAAAATATTTAAAGATTTCACACAAAAGTTCCTAAAATGTTAATAAACAACACAATATATAAGAAATAAGATAAACAATATCAATAATAATGTTCAATATGTATTGGAACATTGAGAATGGCAGACTATTTACAGTACAGTATTACAGGCAGAGTGTGTGTTTTAGCAGAGGTCAGCATGTATTTAATCCTTATTGAGTGAGTTGGGAGCAGTGATGGTTGTAGAGTCTAACAGCTGCTGGGAGGAAGGACCTGCGGTAACGCTCCTTTGTGCATTTAGGATGCAGTAATCTGTCACTGAACGAGCTCTCCAGTTCAGCAACAGCTTCATGCATGGGGTGTGAGACGTTGTCCAGCAATGATGTTATTTTAGCCAGAGTCCTTCTGTCTCCCACCACCTGCACTGGGTCGAGGGGGCGTCCAAGCACAGAGCTGGCCTTCTTGATGAGCTTATCTAGCTTCTTCTTCTCAGCTGATGATAAGCTGCTGCTCCAACACACAACACCATAGAAGATGGCTGATGCCACTACCGAGTCAAAGAAGGTCTTCAGGAGCACCCCCTGCACTCCAAAAGACCTCAGTCTCCTCAGCAGGTAGAGTCTGCTCTGACCCTTCCTGTAAAGTGCATCAGTGTTGTGAGACCAGTCCAGTTTATTGTTCAGGTGAACACCCAGGTACTTGTAAGAGTCCACAATCTCGATGTTCACACCCTGGATGTTCACCGGGGTCAGTGAGGTGGACCTGTGCCTGCGGAAATCCACAACCAGCTCCTTAGTTTTAGCAGCATTGATCAGGAGGTGGTTCTGCTGGCACCAGTCCACAAAGTCTTGAGTCCGCTGTCTGTACTCTGAGTCGTCCTCACCTGTGATGAGGCCGACTATGGCAGAGTCATCAGAAAACTTTTGCAGATGGCAGTGTGGGGAGTCGATGGTGAAGTCTGCAGTGTAGAGGGTGAAGAGGAACGGTGCCAGCACCGTTCCCTGTGGGACCCCCGTACTGCAAACCAGCATGTCAGAGACACAGCCCTGTGTCCTTACATACTGTGGGCGTCCAGTGAGGTAATCCAGTATCCAGTATCCGGTATGACTCTACCTGCTGAGGAGACTGGGGTCTTTTGGAGTGCAGGGGGTGCTCCTGAAGACCTTCTTTGACTCAATAGTGGCATCCAGTAGCAGTAGATGAATTTACAAGTCATTCCAGACCTTAATTAATTAATTTTTTTTTTTTTTTTACCTGCTTTTTCCTCTCTGGTTCACAGGGAACTGGTGCCATTTTTCAGTAATATTGTGCAAGAGGTGGGATACACCCATACATCAATGCTGTTTGTCTGTTAGCAAAAAAGCTCATGAAGCAGTGAATATGTTTGAATGATACTGTCCAAAAGTAATGACTGGATGAACATCTGCAATTGATGAATGCTTGGAGTCAATCAAATTTAAGGTGGCCACAATCAACATTAGCTAAAACACAAATGGCATTAATTCAGTCATTGTAACAGATATTATGCTAACATTTGGTGGTAGCAGCTGAAAGTCATTAACAACCCATATTTGGACCTCTTGTGATTTTACATGAAATTGTGAATAAGATATTGCTTTTTTCCAATGTTCAACCAAAACAGCGTGGCCGTTTGTCAATATAAGATGATCCCGGTGTCAAAGGCTGCGGCATCAGAGGCAGCAGGCAATTAGCATTCCTACAACAAAAGACGTGAATATATTTAGAAAGTTGATTTAGTCTGTTGATTTAGTGGCTCAGTTGGTGGAACTGTTGCCTCTCAGCAAGAAGGTTTCCAGATCAAATCCCAGCCAGGGAATTTTCTGGGTGGAGTTTGTAGTGAATGGTTGTTTGTCTCATGTCAGAGTCAGAGATTCTTTATTGTCGTTTGCAACACATGTGTACCACATGTGTTGCGAACGACACACAATGTGGTGGAACGAAATTATGCACACAGGGTCCCAATTACATCCAACAATAAAATGTAAAAGAAAAACAATGATAACATCTAAGATATGAACTAAGAAAAACATCAACTAAAAATACACTAAGCACTAACAGTATAAAAACATTACGTCGAACAGCAGCACGAACATGAGCATGAGTTTGTGTGAGTAGATGAGCACGCATGAACACATCAACATGAAACAGATCAGCAGCAACATGAAACAGATCAGCAGCAACATGATGTCATTTTTCACAGTGGTTATTCTGGTTAGAGATTCATGAGTCTAACAGCCTCAGGGTAGAAGCTGTTCCTCAGTCTAGTGGTTCTACATTTAATGCTCCTTAACCTCCTTCCTGAGGGGAGCAGGGCAAAAAGTGTGTGCTGGGTGAGTGGGGTCCTTCATGATGCAAGTGGCCCTCTTCCTGCATCTGGAGGTGTAGATGTCTGTGATTGTGGGGAGGCTGACTCCAACAGTCTTCTGTGCAGCCTTCACCACCCTCTGCAAAGCTTTTTTCCTGCAGCTGTGCAGCCTCCATGCCACACATTGATGCTGGAGCACAGGATGCTCTCCACTGCACACCTGGAGAAGGAGGTGAGGACTGAGCTTCCCAGACCAGCTCGTCTCAACTGCCTGAGGAAGTAGAGTCTCTGATGAGCTTTCTTGATCAGGCTGGTGGTGTTGTTCCCCCAGCTGAGGTTGTCATTCAGGTGCACACCCAACTTGTAGCTGGAGACCACTTCCACCACAGATCCTCTTATGTTCAGGGGGGTGTAGGTGTGTTTGTTCCTTTTGAAGTCCACGATCATCTCCTTTGTCTTCTTCACATTGATGTGAAGGTTATTCTCTTTGCACCACCTCTCCAGGTGTTCCACCTCCTGTCTGTAGCTGGACTCATCATTGTTTGTGATGCATCCCACCACCGTTGTATCATCTGCAAACTTTACACTGTGACAGCCTGGATGAGTAGGTGCACAATCATATGTGAGCAGAGTGAACAGGAGAGGGCTCAACACACATCCCTGCATGTATCCCTGAGATGGACTGGAGATCTGTCCAGGGTGTCCCCCGCCTCTTGCACAGTGACTGCTGGACATGGGCACCAGTGACCTCTGGGACCCGAAAAGGAAGAAGCGGGTAAAGATAATGGATAGATGGATTTGGGAGTCATTTGAATTTTTTCCATATTCACCACAAGGTGGGGTCTGAGCACCTTACTTCAACTAGCTGAAAAGTTTAAGAAAAACAAAACAAACAAACAAACAAAAAAGTAGGAAAAGTAACTATTTTCATTCAAAATAGATAAAAATAGAATCCAGAATGGATCATTGTTCATAATTGTTGGGAACAACAGTTTTATGATTCAATTATTTTATTCTCCAAAGGCTCAAAAAAACCTTATTCTAAATGCACTGGAACAACAGTGTTTATACCTTACTTAAAAATAGCAAATCAGAAAAAACAACAACAACAAAAAAAAAAAAAGACTAACAACAGTAACAAAAAGACAATCTTTCAGCCTTTATGGCGAAATTAGCAACATTCAGTGTTTTGCAATAAAGTGAACATAATCATTCTGAATCTGTAACTGCTTTATTTGAAACTAAACCACAAACACACAAAGTAAATACAATTATTTCAACCAATTTATTATATACTTCACAATCTACAAACCAAAGCATTTATTTTACCTTTCATTGCATTTACTGGAGACGAAGATGAAGATGATATCCTAGCTATGCATACATTAAAGAATAAAACAGTCTACAGGTCTCTCTTGTAAATGAGTCCTCAAGACTCTATGGGAACTAATCTGTTTAAATAAAGTTTGAATTAAATTTTTCACTTTCCAGTCAGCAAAGGAAAGCCCAAATCATTTATTAGTCATATCTATAAAGTAAGGCAAGAGTACTGAGACATACTTAACATGGGAAAGCAATTTCATAATCTATAAAAATGTTAGTGTTTTATGAAAGACTTGAGGACATAAAAGTTATAAATCTATTGAAAGGACGAAATCTTTTCAATTTTAGCTATAAATTAATTATGTTTTTGAGGAAGCAATGGTAAAAATGGGAAGTCAAATTATGTCACTTTCATATACTGTGTAAAAAAGAAAAATTAAAAGTACATACATGTATATTTTATGTCAAATGTGTCTGCACTCTACTCCAGTAGATGGCAATAGTTCATACTTAAATGGTTTGTCAACCACCCTTAAATCTGAGCAGAAGAAGAACAAAAACAAACGTCATTTCCGTCATTCAGTAACCGCCTTCTTCTTACAAACCGCGATTTTTAAAAAAATACTCTCCGGTTTTGAAGTGAAACATTTTTTTTTTTCCCTTTACTACAAGACACGTGAGTAATCAATTTAAGTCTATAAAAACTAGTAATTACAACTGTAATTTGTGGCATAGGAAAGGTAAATTTACGGCTAATAACAAGATATGTTTCCTAGTTAGCATTAGCACAAGCATGCTAATGCTAAAACTTCTCAAGTTGTTTTCCAAATTAAACGAAGCAAATTAATCTACTTAAGATGAGTGGACCAAATAAACTTCAGATGTTAAACCCTGAAATGCACGACTGCTTGTTTGTACATTCGCTAATGTAAACCATTTTATTTACGTTTAATTCTCCATTAAGATTAGATTACTGCAAATGAGGCTGCTAAAATCAGATAAAACAATAATTAATGTACACAATTCCCATTTCCCGACGTTGTTTTCAGGATTCTTATTGGCTGATTGGTTGTTTTCAGCCATTACTGTTAACATGAGTTTCTGTTTCTTAACGTCGACGTGTGTAACAAAATAATCATGACAACAAAAATCAACTAGAGATTTCTAGATTATTATTTTTTTTACAAGGCTTTCAGCTGCATAACATGATCTGAGAGAAAGATGATATGATAATGAGATGCTATGATGATCTATGATGTTGGTTAGACCTGATAAGATGAAACTAATAATAATACTCAACGATGTATTATTTGTATTGATATGGGACAAGTACAAATGACCCACTCATTATCCTGGGAGGAACATCATCTTTTTATTATAGCCAAGTTCCACTTTATCCTCAAGACTGGTTGTTAAACATGACTAATGTGATATTGCTGCTAAGAACAATAAAAACATGCAAAATATATGCAATGAATGCTTGTTGAGCTAAATTTATACAATGCACATTATGCTGTTTTCTTTTTCCTCCATATCATTGCATGATACCAGAACATCATGGCATCCATCACAGACCCAAAGATGAGCGATAGGTTTGCCAGTGCAATGGAGGAGATCCACAATAAACACCTTAAAATGTATTTGGACATAACTGACACAACAGCAGAGCTTTCCCAGTCCCACAGACAGTTTGTGAAGACAACACTTGGTAAGTTGTTTTTGTACGCTTTTATTTCATTAAACAATCAAGACACTTTAAATTAAGGTAGTCAAATATTTTCAATGTAAATTCAAATAATGTACAGGTCATCGTTTTTATATTACCTATTACCTCTATTCGAAACATTGTGTGCTTAACCAAATGCATTTTTTCAGTGAAACTTACAAGTATTATTAAAACTCAGCTGGTGTCAAGTTGGGGGGCCTTTCTGGGTGGAGTTTGCATGTTCTCTCTGTGCATTTGTGGGTTTTCTCCAGGTACTCTGGTTTTCACCCACAAACCAAAAACATACATGTTAGGCAAATTGGTAACTCTAAATTATCTCTTGGTGTGAGTGAGGGTGTGAATGGTTGTTTGTCTCGTTTGTTTCTATGTGGCCCTGTGATGGACTGGAGGCCTGTCCAAGGTGTCCCCCACCTCTCGTTTTGTGACTGCTGGATATGGGCACGACCTCCGCGACCCAGAAAGGAAGAAGCAGATAAAGATAATGGATGAAAGTTATGGCATGTAATATGACACCAAGCGGCCAACAAGTCACATGACTTGACTAGAACTGTTCCATCGTTTGTAATTGATACTTATGAAGTATCCTGATGCATGCTCAATAATCCATGTAGAAAAATCTAAAAAAGTTAAATCTGGTCCTCTTGACATTCAAAAAAACCAAAAAAAAAATGTAGAAATGTTTCGTCTTTCATCTGAAATGGAATGGAATCGGATGAAAGACGAAATGTTTCTACGATTTTTTTGTTTTGTTTCTTTGAATGTCCAGAGGACCAGATTTTTATCAGGTCTCTCTTGTAAATGAGTCCTCGAGGCTCAATGGGATTTACCTGTATAAATAAAGGTTGATTGATTAACTTTTTTACATACTTATGACGATTATTTACCTGTTGGTCTAAATTTATTTTTAGATGCATGTTTGAAGAAATGTAAAGATGATGAGAAGCTCTTTGAAAAAATACAGGAATTCAAAAAAGGTAAGTTTCTCCAACATTACGTAGCATTACATTTGTACTACACATACTGTACTTTCTGTGTCACCCAGATATTGTTTGTATGTATCAGTTTGATAGAACATCAAAAAACAAGAAGACTACCGCTAGTTAAAATGCAGCCTGATAATTGTAATTGAGAGTTAACGTTAACTTTTAAACTGTCATGATTTTTTTTTCTTCAGACCTGGAACAAAAGAACAAGGTCTTAAAGGAAAAGCAGCATGTCATATCTGAAGTGATGTCTGAGGTTCAACAGAAGGAGATGCAGAAAAATAACATTATCCTGAACATCGAGAAACTTAAAGAAGAACAAACCAAGAGAAAGGAGTGTAAGACCGTATTTCTTAATTAAGTTCACAACGTATCACATATGTTAATTTGAAATGTAGTCTACAGTGCTTATTGTCACTTTTCATTTTCAGTAATCAAGTCGCAAAATGAAGCCAACAAAAACAGACTGCGTAATCTCCAAAAAGCCAGACTAATGTTTCAGGATCACTTGGGGTTGGAGATACGAGCAGTCATGGACAAGACACAGGTGGTCAAAAGTAAGCCAGATACATTTTCTTATTAGCTACATTTCTTGATTCCTTGAATCTGCACTGTGAAGCTCAAATGTTTACTGGTTTAAAACCAGAGACAAATCTGTCTGATGAGCAATGTATTTGGATGTCATTGTTTTTCTGGCTTTAGTGGTGCCAAAACAAAAATATAGACATGAATAAGCAAGCAGTAAGTCACAGACTGCCACCTCTTTGTGAAATAACTGTCTTTGATTGTTCTCATAATGTGGGTTTAGTGTAAACTGAGTTAAACAGATAAGGAACTAATTCCTTACAGAATTAGAAATCACTGAATCTGTGAGTCTGCTCCTGCAGTGGATGTAACCTGTTCTTTGACAGGTTTTCTTTAACAAACTCTTTGTCTTCCTGAGTCATTTGACATCCTGTTTTTTTTTTTATTCATAAAACATTGGAATTGGTCAAATTGATCAAAATTCCTAGGTACAGTATTGAGCAAATGTCTTGAGTCGTCCATAATTTTCTTATGTATTTTTCCAGGAAGTCTTTTAAATATGCCTTGAGCAATACTGCTTCAGGCTTTATGAATGTTTTGCAAAGTTTTGAAACATTTAGGTATGAAAGGCTCCTAAACGCAAGAAATGAACTAGCAACAACACAAAACAAACATCTCAGTAAATACTTTTTTTTTTAAATGAACCTTTAGACACTTTGCTACCAGCAGCCTGTCATAACTGTTCCGATTTTTGTTGAATTTGTGAAAAATGCTCAAAATAACAGTTTGATAAACTAGTATTTTAGCACCAGTATGGTCATATCCATAAAGATACTAGCTGAAAACTTGGGTCTTGTGTCAGGTCGTTGCTAAATTTATTTCCTGTTCTTTTTTTTTTTAGACATAACTTTCAGTTACTGTCCATCTGCTGTAGAAGTTATTTATTTATTTTTAGATTAGCCACTTCTTTTGTTCTCCACTTGTCCTCTTTCACATGTTTTAAGCACACAGCACAATATGCTGTTATGGTAAGGTGCAAGAGCTGGACAAAATGAATCATAACGCAGCCAAAGCCTAAATATTGTTGATCAAGACCACTGCAAAATATTAGAAACCCTGGCTCATTAGAAGCAAATTATAAATAAACTATGGGAGGTTTAAAGTTTTTACACACCACTGAACATCTGTCAAACACTATCTGACCCTTCGAAAACCAATGGCTTCTTGAAGAGTTTATCTGAGCTACCTTTGAGTTTATAAATTAAGTATTTACACTGTATTTACCTAGCTTGCAGTAATAGATGCTTTTTTTTTTTTTTTTACCTGGAGAGATTTTCAATGGAAAATCAGTACAATCCTAAGCAGCTGCTGGTACATGTGGTTTCTGCTTGATTTAATTTTTATCTGTCAATGGAAATGACCAAACATCAAGTCATGGCTGCTTGGATGTGGTTACAAAATTTAAATAACAAAAGAAGAGGTCCCCCCCCCCCCCCCCCCCTAATGCTGCATTTATTTTGAAGACATCTCTATCCTGATGAATAAAGTAGAGGCTCAGCTCAGTATTTACCTGTTGCCATGGCGAAGTGCTGAATTGATCCATTGATGATTTTTCTTTTCTTGTCCTTTCTTTTGGCTCACAGTCAGTAAACATTCAGACTTGACAGAACTCTGCTTATTTTCTGAAACGAGTTCATAAAACTTTTTTCTCTGAAACAGACCTGTGGTTCTGAGTTCAGCAAAATGACTTGTAGAAGTTACAGAACATGTTTGGGTTTTTTTTTTAAAGGTAAAAAGTTGCAGTTTGTCTTCCGAAACATCAGCCCCTCTGATCAGAACGACGCTTATGTCATCACAATGGGAATTAAAGAAGATGGATCGTACCAGAGTAAGTGTATTGTGCCATACCCCTACGATAAAGTCTGAGCACAAAAACGATTACCCACTAAAAAGCACCCAAAGTGATTCAAATAATAAATATACAAATGTATTAACAGAACCCAGACATGGCGTGTCCATGTTATTTGTTGTTTGATTTGCAACAACCAATGTAAATATGTCTTTGTATACTTTTTTTTTATAGTTGTGTCCAGCGACCCAGTTCTTGACTGTTTGCCGGTCTTGGAAAGCCGGCTTCAGGAGACCAATAATTTACCAGCATTCCTGGCAAATGTCAGGAAGGAGTTTATCTCTAAGGCACGCTGCTGAGCCGCCACTTCCTGTAAAAACCTGTTGTGACGTGTTCACTGTTGACTGAAGGCAAGGAGGATTACAAAGTACAACTGCCTTGTGAAGACTCAAAGGTCTGTGTATACACTTAGCAGGAGTTGTGTCTCATTGTTAACTTTAAATTGTGTATATTTTATCATTTTAACTTTGGTTTTATTCAAGTCAAGTCAACTTTATTTAAATAGCACATTTAAAACAAAGTGTTATTACAGTACCTAACAATAACATCAAAGAGAGTAAAATAACATATTTTAACTACAGAATTATTCAGACTGATTCACTTCTTTTTTTTTATTTTTTTTTTAACCCAAATAAAAATCTTACAGAATCATTCATATTGAAACTTCATTTATTGTTTTTAGCATGGCTCATTTAACAAAAATAAATAAATAAAGATACATTTTTCCAATCATTGTAAGGTTTTTAACTCAACTGTAAAATGTCAATATTTGAGCTTTCTTGTATGAAATGCATTATAAATATTCCTCCAAAAACTTTTGGCATAAACATAGTCAATTTTTGCCACTTTACACAAAAGGACAGAACATTTAGCCCTAGACAGTTGTAGCTTGGATGTTAGCAGATGTTGAATATTTTGTTGCTGAACATGTAGTCCAGTAGACCCACACTGTTTTGTGTTTTCGCTCTTCATCAGTCTGGTTATTCAGACATCCGCTGACCTCATCTGACCCGGCACTGGTAGCTCTTCAACATAGGTTGACGGGAAATGACCCTTCTGACCATTAAGCTTTCCTAACCACCAACCATTCTCTCCTTTGGTACAAATGTCCAGAAGATCACCTGTGAAACAGTAAACTTCATCAGCTACGGCATCAGTCTTTACATGGATGAGCTGCGTTGGGTTCACCACCCACCTTCTTTCAAAGCCAGTTCATCTTCGTGTTCAGGTGTGAAATTGTACAGGGCCTTGCATTTCCCTACACTGTCCAGTTCCGCTGTTTTGTTTGATGAACACGTACAAGTTTAATTTCATGTTGCATGTCCAAATGTTAGAAATAAAAGTTTTGATGCTAAATAATTTACCTGGTCCCTTGTCTGTGTCAGACAGAGCTTCGTCGCTGCTGCTCTCCAGCTTTTCATCAGATGCAGTTGTTGAAGTGGTGGGGTCAGTATCTGTTGGTTTGGGCTCCACGGATGGTTGTGTCAGAACTTGAACCGGGCCTTTATAGATGATGGACGCTCTCAGTGACTGTCGGGATCTGAATGGTGTCCTCCGCAGTTTTACTGGACGAGTCACTTGAACAACGCTGTGCTCACAGTCCTTAGAGGAAAAAAGTGGTTTGGTCTACATTATTTTGAGTTAGGAAGACAAAAAAAAAAATAGAAATGTGACTGAAAAAGGAATTTGACTTTAAAACAATACTTGGTTTTCAGTGAAATAGCATTTAATGCTTTTTATTTTTATTTTCTCTAGACTTCATTGTGAGAGAGAAGCATGTAGTAAAAACTAGTTGCTGCAACAGATAAGAGCGTTTCTCTGCTGAATTTCTGTAAGGTTCTAGTGTGAACATTCAGCCCATTAGTTTCCACTGGGATTTCTTTTGTTCAGACAAACCATTAATTATTTCAGAAACGGAATGTATTTTTGAAAAGGGGAAAAAAAAAGCCACAGCAGTCGAGTGAAAAGCCAGTTATTTTAAGCCCTTCAAACACTATCAAACCATGCACAACCAGTTGGGGAAAAGGGTTTTATAACGGTAATTGGAAAGCATGCTGTTCCCACTTCAAGTTGAAATTCCAAAACTGCAGACTCAAATCAAATACAGCATAATAAATAAATAATAATATATATATCCTGTCCAGAGTCTGCATAATGTCTCTCCACTGACAATAGATTCACATTTGTACCTTCTATAGTCTTGTGTAAGGCTGCTGTTGTTTTAAAAAAGATGAGAGAAGGACATTGTAAATGTGACAGTGCAGCACAATATGGCTGTAATATTAAAAACTGTTTAAAACATCGGTCACAAAAGCAGCTTGCTATACAATATTTGGCTTTTTTTTTTTTACAAAAAATTAAATATATGCTGACAACAGTTTTGGCAAATGACTCGTTTTCTCAAGATATTTAATGCTATTTCAAGATAAACTTTTAATTTTATTATCGGGTATTTGCATTCCTTCAAAAATACTACGCCTTTGATTTTATTATGTTTTTGAAAAAAAAATTTAAATCATGAGACAAACATTTAACTAAAAAAAAAAAAATCT